TCCTTTGCAATGTGGAGGAAAGGAAGAAAACAGGATATTTTTGTCATTCAGTTAGTCTTTAGGCATCGATGTAAAGGAATCACTTCATCGTTCATTCCCATGCACTACACGTTGTGCATTAAATGTCACATATGTGTGCCAGACACCTCTGTCAGTCAAAACAAGTGGGGTGAAGAGGGAACCTCAAGGAGGCGTGCGATTAATTTATAGAGGTAACACTTGTGGAGGTTTGGTCCAGGCCATTCCACATAGTAAGACAAAAATCACTCCACATAGTCATGTCATCTCGCTCACCCTAAAGGTACTTCTTGAGGCAGAAATTTACAGTAAGGAGTGACTTCTGAGCGATAAAACCGACAATTATTTTATTTCTGAATAACAAACATCTCTCTGACTAAGGATGAATACATGTATAAAAGGTCCTTTAAAAATGCAATCAGAGATATTTGTCAAATGGGTTTTTGACAGTATTTAAGAATTGCTGAAAAAGCCATCACGATAAATTCACATGTGGGAGCTTATTCGTGTGCACTGGTAGCGCTTCCACCAAAATGCTGCATTCATGTTAAAACAAGGAAACTGGGGTAATGTTTTGAGCAGTGTCCTAATGGGTGTCGTCAAATGCAGAAACGAATGGCTCTCTAATAAAAGAAAAAGGCAAAGAGAATTGTAGAGATGAGTTCATTATCCCTGCAATCATGTGTTGGTGTAGGTGAGCTGGGATCCTGCCGAATTGACAGTTTGAGTAATTGGAAGGCAGAGGCTTCAATACAGACGCTTTTATCTGCAGGCGTGTGTTCATACACGACCACAGGCTGTCCCATGGAGCGTAGAGTAGAATCAAGCACTGGAGACACCAAGTGGTTCCAGACTTGTCCACTTTTTGTACTGAGTTAGCCTTGAACTTGCGGGTTTGCTGGCTCACTTGACGGCTATCCTCAAGTGGGGTGAGGGTGAACGAGGGTAGGAATTTGAAGAAAACTCGACACTTAGTTTGAAGAATGGCAAATTGTGAAAGCCGATATGGAAGGGCTTTCTGAAGTCATAGGTAGCTTCACTTACTAAAATATTACAATCGGCCAGTGGAAATATGTTGAGCGACAGTGTCATGTCCTGCTTCGATGAACTTATTTTGGATGCATTTAAAAATGTAGTTATAAAGATGCCATATTTTTGTATTCGCAATCACTGTATTTAAGGGCATAGGATGCAGATGTTCTCTCAAAACATACGCACATTATGTGCCTTCCTCAAGCTCATCAAAAGTCATGTGGAAATTCACCGTGTCTCTCTTTTGGTCATCTTAGTGGAACCTTTTACTTTTTGTCAAATACTCCGCTCATTTTAACTTGTTTTGGAAAAAGCATCACTTTTGTGGAAAAATTCATTATCTTTTCTGTACTTCTAGGTAAGCCTCTCATGAAACCGACATTTGTTTGAGTCAACAACACAATTGGTATGATATATAATATGAGTTGCTTCTAAGTGCTACATATCTTTGCCATCATTTAAGTCTTTTTCAACATAAAGGTGCAAAAGACACAGGATTAAACAGCCTGTCAAGGCTCTAGAAAGATCTCATTAGTAATGAAGGACCTTTAGTAGTTGCAGCGTTTGTTAGCGTAAAGAAATAATCATGCTTGCATGGAAATTGGGCAGGCGATACAATATCTTCTGAGTGGCAAACACTCCCCTTCTTATGTCCTCCCTGTGGAAGCACCAAACATTGGGCGATTATGGATAAAATCTGGCAAACAGGGATGGCTTGAAGGTGCTGTTGCCAGATATGACATCAAGTTGGAGTGTAACGATACCAAAGCGTCAACCAACATCTGTGGATGTTGAAGTGGCTGCTAGGTAAAACTTCGAATTCCTACTTTTAAATGGAGACCAGAACCCTTGATCTTACAGATTCATGGACTCGACTTCGACTGTATTAATAAGGTTTGTGGTTCTGGCTTGTTCTTTCCAGATTCCATTGTCTCCTCACAGTGCGACTACTTGTGGTGCTTCTTTTATGAAGATAGTACGTACAGCATTGATGAGGTGGTTTGTAAACCCAGGACTGTTTGATTTCGTAACACTTTGTGTTGTTGATGAAAACAAAGTCTTTGTTGTTAATCAGTTACCAGACGATCGTAATTTCAAAGGCCTCCAAATGGTGCTTTGAATGTGCCATTTTTGAGGGGGCTAAAGTTTGCTTCCACTTACTGGAGCTAGGCTAAAAATTAGACGCTTTTGTGGTTGAGATGTGGGCAATCTAACCATTTTCAAGCTACAATTTTGACGTAAAGAGCACTTTTTGGATTGAATAAGTTTATAAGTGAGAGGCAACTATGTTCTGAGGCAAAATTGAGACAGTCTTTCTATTAAATTCATGACAATATGCAGCGTTTCGTCCTCTTCCTCATGCATGAAAAAGCATTTGGCGAGACGATGTTGTCCGGTTGATAACTTTGCTTTGGATTGGGGATTTGAAGAGGGAATGAGGGATGGATTAGGACATACTTAAGCAGCTTACATATCAACAGAGGCAAGACATTGATGCCTTCATTAATAGTTAAGTGAGCAAAGTCAGCGAGGTTGTTTCGAATAAAGGCGATGCGGGAAGAGAGGCGCAGTCGATTGATGCCACACTTTCTGGCATAATTTTTAGAAAGAGTGAAATAACATGCCTCCGGTCCTTTCCGCTTCTAGAGATAATAAGGTTAGGTGAATTAGATTGATTCAGAATAGTCTAATTCTGTAAGGCTTTCTAAAACCTGCAACTTAGAAGCAAATAAATGGGTCACATCGGAGTTCCGAATGAATTCGCACACTAGGTTGAATCCATCATTCTTATTTTTTTGTCTCTAACCTGACCCGCCCTCCAACATCAGCATGGAGAGCAATTTAAACTAGTTATTTTCAGCAAGCAAAGGACAAATTCAACACTTAGGCCTCTCTTCACCTCAAAACTCGTTGCGGTCTCAACATACACTGTGAAAAGTCAGGATGAACCGATTCTGTAGCCATGGAGCAAATGTAACTATGGGAGCAAAATGAGACTGGTCATCACCCCAGCAAATGTTTGGGGTTAAAAAATAATGTTTGGTGTAAATATAAATTTAACCGACTTCATCGTACTTAGCGAAAAGTACCAAAACCTAAAATTGTGATTTAAGCAACGCCATGGTATTTGATTTCCCCACTGCTCGCGACCATTCCGAACGCACTAAACCGTGGTGGACCACCAAGAAGACAGTTTGTCAGACAACACTAAATACAAAAGACTGCTACCCTTAATTTGTCCCCACTTTCCCTTCTTTTAAAAGCAGGGGTGATGAGAATGGATGTTGAGGAGGAAAGTAGCAGACTATACTGCTGTCTATAACTCGAGTGCCACAGAATGATTATTTTAATTAAACAAATGGTGATCAAAGCTTAAAATTGAGATGAGAAACATAAGTGTTTGGCTAGGCACCTTTTAAAAGGAAAAAAATAGACGAAAGGTGGAATTGTGGAGGGAATAGCTGCGTGGCTGTTGTGTACACTATGGGGACAGACCTCTAGGAGTGAGTTTAAGCAGCCCACGGTTTTTAGTAGGAGCTATCCCAACGTGCGTTTGTGGCGGAGCCATAGTGTCAAGAGAAGGGTCCTAAAAGCTGATAGGAACAACTAAGTGCACAGGAGAGAAGAACATGTTCCGTATTTGGCACCCCCTTATCCTGTGCCATGTGTTTTACCATTGCTAGACCAATGGCTGTCTAAATACTTTTATAAACCGAAAAATGTTGCCACTAAAGGCATTAACCTTGATAGTAAACAACTTTAGGTGAAGGAGAGACCTTGCTTAGCCAACCACACGCATTCTGTTTTAAGGGGTTAAAAGAAATAACGGCCGTTTTCTCTTAGGCTGGTTTATTACCCACCGCAGCCAAAGCGAATCTAAAGTAGATAATACAGGTCGTTACACAACAGTTCTTCATGGCAAAATTTTCTTTAAGAAATACAATATTAGTTTCTAGCTGAAAACTGGTAGTTTAGTTAATAAATTCCTTTCGTCTAGTGCTTTCTTATCAAATATGAACTGGAAAATGCACGTGTTACACGGACAGACCTTGATTCTTTCAACTTGCCAATTATATCTAGTAAGATATTTTGGACACTTACCTTTTTATTCTCCTACCTTAAATACTTTACAGGTGTTCATTTATCCCAGGTAGTGGTTATTTAATAACTTCCATTTGCTTGGTTTTTTTCGTCTCCACAAACTTCTATTTATTCCAGTGCTCCAAAGAGCAGAAACATTCGCCTGGTGAGTAACCCCTCCTCATCTCTTTCTTCTCACAAAATTTTCTTGAAGTGATCACTGATTAGGTAATACGAGCAGTCAGATAGAGGGGGTGAGGTAGTTAAGAGAAAAAATGTTATTGTCCATTATATGGGCGTCACCCTGAACAAATTTAATGGCAAGGTATTGTCGACCCCCTTAGGCGTATCTTCACAAAAACGTCTGATTAGCAGACCATGTAAAGGCGAGTTCATTAACAAAATTACAGCATATACTTCCATTTTCCAATTAAAATGTAAACTCGATAGAGAGAGAATCCAAAATGACAATGGAAAAAGGTCAGCCTGAACATAGAGTGCTTTTCGACCTAGAGCATCCACAATGTCCGCAAAGGTGAAGGTACAGATTGGCACTTAATTGCAGGATTGTGGGTGGTATACTCTTTTTACTCTGATTTATAAAGTCGTTTAAAAGTAATTGCAATTTAGTAGCTCAAATTACTTTAAATAGCAATAAGATATATATTACTAATTAAATTGAGCTGTTCATTTCCGCTATCCATCTGATAGCACCAGTTATGTAAAATTCATACAAACTCTTGGTTTGAGTCTTAAATTGGTGATCAGAGATTTATAACTTAAATAAAGCCCTCCCTTTTGACAATTCTACCCATCTGATGATGATAGTATGGATTAGTAAGGCATTCAAAACCGTGTTTATACCGAGCTCATAGGCAGTATTGCGCCTCCTCCACCACCACCACCTCCTCCTCCTCCTTCTTCTTCTTCTCTCCCTCAATCACAACAAGATGCATACTTCCCGACCATATCTCGCTTGAAAGACGTGTTCAAACAAATATGCATTATAGTTGTAATTTGAAAGTCAATGTTATTTCCAGTTATCATTTTTCTCTTATTTCGTTCTTTTTGCAAAAATGCGATTTTCCTGCAGACCGGAACATATTGTGAAGCAGAAAATCAACCACAAAGAAGCAGTTTTTTTGAGCTGGCGATTGTTTTTGGCAATATGACTTAATGATGACTAATTGAATGGTCTCGGCCGTTTCAAATACTGTGCATCTTCCAATTGCATCAAGTAGGTCGGTCCCATTTGTATTTGTATTAAACTCAACAAGGTATTTGCAGTTAATAATTTTGTCTGCAGTGCATTAAATCCGAGCAAGCCTGGCTTCTCAAAGATGAAGTACATCACTTCGATGAGTTGTAGAGCAGTGTGGATGATGTAGGGATCATTGCCGGGAAACACGAAAGATGTGATTATTTACGTGACAAATGCTGCAACATAGAGGCTACCTCCCGATACGAGTCCTCCTGTCATCAAAGAATGTAAAAGCAAATCGTTTTGCAAAATATGTAGAAAGGTCTGGAAACATGTTGATAATTTTCGTTGTCTTTTATATGCCATCTGTCAATGCGTGACATGTATGCGGTCTTCATTTGTTTACCTTCTGCTACCTTCGATACGCACTCAATAGGTGTGAATAAAGCTACACCCTTCACCACTTGCTTAATAAACCTTTGTTAATTTAACCGATACGTCGGCCTTCAATTGTCCCAATCAGAAGCGGCACACCGCTGTTTTGCGTTTGTCCTTACTACTGATGTTAAATGAATGGATGACGTATGAACTACTGAAATCGCAATGTATGTTCGATGTGCTGACGTGGCAAAGTGAAGTACGGTCATAGCAACTGCGAACATGACTACAACGGTTCTCAGCTCGAATGACCACGAAATCAGAGCTAAGTAAGTTTGATGTCGATGTGTGGGACTTGGTTACAACGCACTTGGACGATGAAGAAAATGAGCCACCACTTAAACAGACCTTCCTTTAAATAGCAAACGCACTTCAATGACGGTTTGATCCTATAGTATGCTTTCGTTGGTAGAGGGGCATTTGCAATTTCAGCTAAGAGCAATTATCCGGGGAACTTTTTAGTAAAGAACCACCATTTTTCTTAAATAATCTAAATGTGCTTCAGTGTAACTACGCCCCATAGATTTGATGGCACAGCCGTATTTGTTATTTACCACCATATTTACCCGCTTTTCGAAAGTAACAGCAACTCTTGACGTGTGCAGTTTGGGGTCTAAATATGAGTGTCGATCTTTTCGTGCACTTTACTTTGCTTCGCACACTTTCACTGTCGTTGCGGACCCCCGTCAAGTGGCATTTGAGCGCACCCACATGTGACGCGCCAGTTGCCCTATCACAGCTTGGGGGTTCAAGCAGGCAATCAATGTTCTTTGTCAGTTTATAATGAGTAATTGGTTCGTAAGAAGAAGTAAAATTTGTCCGTAATATTCGAAAAAATAGAAAAGTTGGTTTGTTATGGTTGATAGAACTCTAAAATGTAGGTAGTGAGGGTGGAAAATATTGTGAATAGCCAGGTTACCTCTTGCATCAGCGGAGACATATCGCTTTTTTGACGAAAGCAAGGGGGCTGGTGTGTGGAAAACCGCAGCATGACCATCCATATTTGTTGACTCAAGTCCCACCTAAGATAGCCCATTACAAAGCTCTAGTTCAGTATGTGCTACTACAGCCTAGCCGCCTATCAAAAAAACTGGATCAAGACAATAATTTACCTTTCATATTGGTACCAAGAATGAATAATCCATTGGTCAGGTAGACGAATCTCATCGTGAGCATGTCTTTAGACTAGTAGGTAATGATGCCCAAAGGTTTGGACGAAGTCGGCACAAAATCTTTCACATCTTGGTTTCCCTTTGATATAGTCGTGCCTCATCGATGCCACAACAGGCTAATTCCTGATAGAGACAAACTAGTGCTAAGGATAAGATGTTGCAGCAATTCAAAAGCTTGTTTAACAGTGATAATGGATGCAATTTTAGGGCGTTAGTTTAAAATTGGATGGAAGATCTTGATTAAAGCAGACGTCTCGAGTTTCCCAAGTCTCTTCTACAGGTGAATGGCCAAGAGTTCTTATGATCTTGTAAATTTGGACACCTGCCTCGCTAACCCTTCCTAAACTAGGAACAGGCACGAGCATAATATTGGGTCCTCGTTGGTGTTTGTTATGACGAATGCAGAGTCCATCTAATGCAGGTTGAAGCACCATTTGCGAAAGTGAATTGCAGAGTCTTGAGTGCGCTCTGAAGTTGTAAGTGGCTAAAGTAGCACAAAAGAACATATATTACCAGCGTATGGAATCGTTCGAAAGCAGTAAGAAGTAAAGTCAAAGCCACAGAGCGGAAGTGCAACCCGCAGTGGCTGATATCGCCGCCTAATCAAACAAAATATCCGGTTATGCTTTAAGTTTCCAATTTTATCGTCCCGTCAGGTAAGAATCCACCAGCTTTTACCTGAGAATCTCTCGCAGATTGTAAGTTCACATCCGATTAGCAAAATTTGTTGGTAATACCCATAGTTGCCAAGCATGAGGTTAGACCTTGGACCTGTGGCAAGTTGTTCTGTCAGCTTCAAAGTGAAGTACACTAAAAGGAATTTGGCTCCAACGCACCCCCTCATTACACTTTACCATAATAACCTTGCCAAAATTCACCTTTTTAAACACACGCCATTCAAATTAGGTGGAATATCCATCTGCGCGTCGCCCTCCACGTGCAATTCATCAAAAATCTTCTTCATTAATGCAGGAAACCTCACCGTAGGAAGAGTCAACACAGCCAACTGGTATTGTCAAACGCCGCAAATTAAGAATTTATACATATTTTACTCCAATACCTTATTACGATTGTAGCATTTGGAAAAGGTTACTCATTTTCAAACTTCTTTCAAATTTAGGCTGATTAAAATTAGAATAATTCCTGCAGAAATTCAATTTGCCCATCAAGCCGACAATTCTTTCAATCATTTGAAAAGCGTCAATAGGCATCAGTTAATTGCGATTTAAAGACTTAGTGAACATTTTAAAAAAGTCTTGGCAGTATGGCTTACAAAAGCTTTTGCTTATGACACCAAGGCAGGATGAAATAGAAATAAGGAAGCAGTTGAAGTGTTGGCCTATGCAAAGGGTTTAAATAAGTCCTGCTCTCGAGTAAAATGGAAGGTTTTATTCTAAGTCAGCTAGATTTGGCTCAAGTGTTGTATTTTGTTGCAGAAAAAGGTGCTTTTTTTATCCACAACAAGGCAAAACGAACTTATTTATGACCTCTTGGTACAACCTTGTGTGTACAAACGCCTTGCCGGCCACTTTTGAAGGGTTAATTGCCGAACGATCTCTTTTTCCACTAGTTAATTGCAATGAAGTGATAAGCCAATTTGTTTGGCTAGATTTACCCCGATACACCATGACATTGGATGTTTGCTTGACTACGCCTATTCAGACGGCAAGTGGGCAGCGCCGACCTACCTCGTGCTCGAGAAGGCTCCATCTATCTGCCACATCGGAGACAGACGCAGCTTCCCTCACAACCACTTACCATTCACCCGGATACGAATGGCTAAAACTGAAGGCAGAAGGTGAAAGCCAAGAAGAAAACACACCATCATTGTATGGCAAAAATGACCCTATTAAAGTGATCTCTTCAACAAGTGGTAAGGACTCAGCTTGTACGCTTCGTGAGCTTAAATGACCTGGCAGACAATCGTCGTAAGATTAGCGGTCTTCCTTCCATAAATTCACTTATAATCAAGTGACTCCTGATCATACAATATCGCAGACCGGTACAGAAGCTCT